GGTTACCCCGTTACAAATGACATCACAGTATTCAGACACCAGCTAGTGACGACTGGATATTAAATTTTAGTAGTTTAAGGGGTGAACCGCAAAATATCAACACCAGACAAACAGAGTCCTCCTTTTAGGTACGTTTAAACTGAAAGCAGTGCTTTTGTGTCGTGTTTGATCTACAGTATCATCAGTTTGCCGTGTCGTGCAGTGACGAAGCACTGCTTCAAGTTAGCCAGCTGCTAAAAACAGCTGTCCTGGAAAGATAGCGCTCTCCCGCTCTCCAGTGCCTCACAGCGTCCTCAGTTTACTTTTGTTTAAATCAGGGCTGTAACTCACATGAACTCACTTCTTTCTTTCACTTTTGTTGCTTGGGAATGCACTAATACTTAAGTATGACTGTCCGAGCGCTGCAACAGCGCTGTAGTTGTGAGGATTTTGATCTAACGCTGCTAAAGCTGGTTAGGATGTTAGCAAAGAGGTAAGCTCGCTGTAGGACAGTACAGTTACACCACTGACCTCGTCACTCACACTCGGTCACAGGAGAGCAGACCGCCGGTCGCTCCGCTCAAACAGGGACTGTATAACTCCGCGTTTCAGCCGTTGCTAAAGACTCATCTTACTCGTGGTCCCCTCCCTCTCGGAAGTGCGCCCTCTCCTGGCGACAGCAGTGTAGTGTTGCTTTCCTTGCAGTAGAAACCGCCACCAAGGCTTTCGCTAAAACGTGGAAGTGTGAGAATGGTGTATTATATCGAACATGTCGCATCGCTCTATCGAGGGAAAGTTATATCGCGATAATTATCGTTATCGTTTTATCGCCCAGCGCTATTGTGACCTTCTTTATTGCACAAAAACCGACTGGCTCTGCTTTATACTGGCCTCTGGGAGAACCTCTGGTCTACGTTATGCATCTGGACTTAGAGGCTACGACCACCCTTGTATTGACCAAAGTCTTAGTGTCTTCAGGAGTCACAACCCTTCGTCGGTTGGTGGACGTGGCAGGACCAGATCTCGTGCATGTGGAGAACCTGACTGCGAGGTTAGGGGTGAGATCTCTCTGTGTTGTGGCTCATCTCCTCCAGGGCTGGAGGTCGGCCCTCTCTCCTGAGGAGTGGGAGCAGGTGAGAGACTACAGTGTGGGGGTGATCAGGCCTTCAGAGCATGACCCCTTCCCACAAGTCATCATCATGCCTGACTTACAGGACTGCAAGAGCCCTCTTCTGGAGTGTGAGGGGGAATCCAGCGTGAACTTGAGGCCAGTGTCTGGTAAGCTGCTGTACAGAGCCCATGTGAAGGTGCTGAATAAGAAAAGACTGCGCAGTAGAACTGACACTCCTTGGTGTGAGGGCTTTAATCTGAGCCAGACTGGAGAGGACTGTATAAACAACCGTTAACTAAGAAGGTTGCTGATTTGCAGTGGAGGGTGCTACATGGTATTGTCTCAATGCTTTTATTGCTGTTTAAACCCTGAGATTTTACCACAGTGTCCATTTTGTTTCCAAAGAGAAACAAACATGCTTTTCTGCATTGTTTTAGGCTGCATCCTTTATTTGACATTTTGAAGAGTGTTTTATGTCTCTTAATGTGACTTTTACACTCCAGACTTTTATCCTTGGCTTTAAGTATGTTAAGAGAGAAAAGTCCAGGTGCTAAGTGATCAACTTCATCCTTGGACAGGCAAAAAAAGTGATATATGTCTGTCGAAAAATAAAGGTGGGGCGTAGTACTGGATGTGATGCCACAAGGACTCTCTCTAGACTGGTTAGATCAAGGATTTTAATTGATTGTAATTATTATAAGAGCAAGTGTGATGTGGAGGCTTTTAAAACAGTGTGGTGCTGTGGAGAGGCGGTGTGCTGGGTGTATGATGACGAGCTCGGCTTTGCTTCTGAGGTCAGCTGAGCCAAAAGTGTGTTTTTTTTTTTTTTTTTTTTTTCTTTTACTTTTTATAACAATATTTTATTGTACTTATTTATGTTTTAAAGTAATTTAAGATGACAGTGTGACAGCTGAGGGTTTTACAGAAAGACTCCTCTTCTCTTTCTCTCTTCCCCTCACTTTCACTCTATCTCTCTCTATTTCTCTCTCTCTCCCTCTCTATTCTCTCTCCTTTCTTCTCTCTCTCTTACTCTCTCTCACTCTCTCTTTCTCTCTTTTTTGTGTCAAATTTAACTCCCCTGTTTTACCATATAGCATTTTCTGTCAAAAACCTGAAACAGTTTTTCATGTTTGTACTGACTGTCCCAGGATGGTGCCACTCTTTGAGCTCCAAGGCTGAGCTCTCAGAGGATTGTGTTTAAGGGTGTAAGTACACACAAGCACAGAGCTCCAAATGTATTATGACAAATTTCTCAGTGGGACAAGCAAAATTAGCAATATGGGAATTGTTTGGGCAGGTATCTGAAAGGCAGGACACAGATGTTCTAAAACCGTTTCAGGCATTGGTGGAATCATGCATGAGAGTGGAGCGTCAGATTCCTCAACTCCCACAGACCCACACATACATAACACCTACATAGACCCACACACACACATGCATAACACCCACAAGGACCACACATACATAACACACCACACACACACATATATATAACAATATTGGACTAACTCACTCCTCACCTCTTGCAGCTCCAAATTATGGAACACTGTATAAATATAGTCACTGCATTTCACTGAAACACTTCACTTTAACAATATTAGCTGCTAGAATTACTGTATCAACCAAATACTGTATATTGCTGCTCTGATTGCTACCTCAGTGACTGCTATGCTCATGTATGCAAGGCTATCTGCTAATCTGCTAATATGTCATAGTATGTTACATCCTCCTTTGCACAGCTCCACATACTCTCAGTACCGTGTACTGCCTGTGTTCTGTTTGTATTTACTGTCTTTCGTATTCATTGTACTGTATTGTCTACACTGTGTATATTGTACACAGTGCAGACAATACAGAATGATCTTGTGTTGGTCCTGGAGGAATGTTGTTTTGTTTCACTGTGTACTTGTATAAATCTGAAATGACAATGCCTGACTTGACTTGATGGAGGACTTGAGTGTCTGTAGATGATACAAGAGTGTTGTTTCATTGCTGAAGTTTCCTAATTGTAATCTGTATCCCCTGACTTTTTCCCTTTTTTTCTCTTTATTTAATATGGTGTTTCAATAAAGGGGTTTTAAAGTCACAGTCTCTCTTTCTGTCTGTCTCTCTTTTTCTCTTCTTTCTTTGTCCCTCTCTTTCCATCTCTCTCTCTCTCACTCACTTACTTTCTCTCCTCCTGCTTTAAAATTGCTCCAAGTCTTAGTGAAATCACACATTAGAGTTGAGTTTGTTTTTATCAAACCACTGCTATTTCTGGTTTTCAGTGTTAGCTTTTTGTGTTTGTCTTTTTGTAAATAATCAACATGGTGCCTTTTAGACTATAGATTAAAGTTTTAGTTAAAATCCAATTACAGACAATAACAATAACTTAAAAAACTGAATAAAGCAGTCGGGGCTACTGAATGAAGTTTGCGGATCCAGGAGATCTGGCTTATACTGGTGAGCTGAGCTGAATGATCTGACTTACACTCATAATCAGCTCTGCAACATTTACACTTCATTCACTAAGAGTTTATTTCCGTGATTCTGAACTGCAGAACTGACTGAGCTGCTTAAAGAGCTTTTAAATGATGCTCACTGTGATCAGCTGATTTTAAATAAAGTGCTGAAAGTACTGTTGGGTTTGCACAGCTGGTACAGATGTGTTGGGCTTTAGAGAGAAACTCAGGACTAAAATAATGGGTAGTCAGTAATCAATAAAGTAGTCATACTACAGTTTGAGAGAAGTAGTTAGTTATTTGTAATGGATTACTATTTTTTGAGTAACTGCCCCAACACTTGGATCTGGGTGCCACATAGGAGCTCATACAGATATATGGTTTAACACTTTCTTACATTTATGCAGGTACTAAACGCTTTAATTAATTTGTGCTCAGATGTCCCATTTTAGAAGAGTTGAATGGTTTAATGAGTTTGATGTGTTGAAAAATAAATTACCAGGATGTTGTTATTACAAAGCCGATGTGACACAGTAAGTGTCAGACAATATTTTATTTCATATAGCAGTGGGGAAAAGGTGAAGGAGTAGGTTTTAATGGATGAATGATGCTGGACTGTGAACTACAGAGCCTGTAGCCTAAACTGAGCAGCAAGCAGTGTTACAGGTTACATTTTACAAGCTTGATCTGTAAACTGCCCTCATGAACACTCACATTTATATCCTAGTGATGTCAGCCTGCAGTGTGTTGCTGCACATCTGAACATCTCAGGCAGTCAGAGTCACTCTGTGTAGTGCAGCTGTCTCACTATCAGAACGTCACTGTTTCCACACTGAATCTCATGATTCCTTTAGAATCTATCGAGGTCTGGACCTCAGTGTCCTCACGCTGGTTATGACCATGTACACAGATACTCAATAACTCATAATGAAGAAAACAGCAGTTTATTAATATCTCTTTAATAACGTCTTTCAGACAATGTTTAAAGGAAACAGTCATAACAGGCAGAGAAAATTATTCACAATGCATATTGCTTTGTATGAATAAAAATGCTACACAAAGTATTTTGCTTTTGTAATACTGTTACTAAGAAGTTTACATGCTAGTTTAATAATACTCTGTTTTCCAGTATATATACAGTATATAATTATCACTTCAAAAACATTCGTTTAATTTAAAAGCACTAAGCAGTGTGTCTTTGTCTGTAAAACTATATAACATTATAATCAGTACTAATAAACATAAACACAGGAGTCAGAATGTGTTGTTTTCAGTAAAGATCTAAAGATGTAGGTTAGACAATCACATTTAGAAGAACACATGTTTGGTTCATCACATGCATCTGTTCAATTCATTACCTGATTTAATTTAATGAAGGTCTCATAAGATAAACTGCATATTGGATGGTAACTGTTAACGCTGGACGACCTCCAGGAGAGCTTAGATGGCCTAAGACTTTTGCACTGTACTGACCTGGGTCATTTTGCTTCTTCAGTTTTAGTTACTCATCCCACAATTCAATCTTAATAAGCGATTGACCAAAGGCAGACATTGTTCCCTTCACCAGAGCTCCTTTTCCAGAACGTGTTATGACACTCCCTGTACCTTTTCCTCTAGTAATTGGATCAGTAGTTTTATTTTTCTTTATCTTCTTGTACTGTGCTTTATCACAGTTTGTGTTTCGTTCAAAAATGCCAAGATAAAATTTGTTTTTGTATAAGTTACGGTCAAAAGGCACAGAGAACAAGATGACCAGTTCACCAACATGGCTTGTTTCTTCCTGGATGATTTGGTACATCAAGATTCCAACAGAACCACGGGGTACATTTGTGGTTTTGGAGAAGGAGCACACTTCTTGGGAATCCTTTTTGATGGTAGGTTGTGGAGGATGGTGACATTGTCCACTGGAGGTGTAGGTCCTGTTACACAGACAGAGATTATAATTCATAATGTTACATACAGATATGTAGCAGATTACAGGCAGACGGACAGTGTGAGGCAGACAGACATAAAGGGAAAACATAGTCACAAGCAGCAATTCAGAGGTCCATGAACATTTTCACAAGTATGACCATAAAATTCTGACCAGCGTGATGAGAGTTACTTTAAAATGCGACAGCAAAATCATTTCTTTGTTGGTATCTGCATTTGGCAGATTTTAAACTATGTATAATTTTTCTGGACTACTTACAGGTAACGACTTTTATAATGTGTGTTGAATATGGATCAATTGGATTGGATGTCAGTTACTAATGTGAGAATCTGATGTGGTAAATTTGTTAACAGCTTTAAAATGCTGCAGTAAACTAACTTCATCTTTGGTTTGTGCATAGTATGACAGACTTTGAACCAAAATCTCCTTTTAACTACTGACTGGTAATGGCTGTTTTATACTGTGTTGAATTTGATTCATGAGTCAACTAGACAGGATGCAACTGACTAATGTAATGAGCTGATTTAGTAAAATTTAGACCCCAATAAGTTTAAAATACTGCATTAAAATGATGTTTGGTTTGTACATGACATTATAATTTTTAAATATCTTGAATTTGATTTATGGGCATGACTACCAAATTGGGTTAAACATTGGTGGCCAAAAAAGGATTTTTGTCGTATTAGAATGTTAGAACATATAAAATGTTGAGGATGTGGCCTTAAGCTGGCTATCAGCAACACCAGCAAAGCACCCAATTAACCAGCTGGGATACTAAAGCTACCACAGCAAACATTCTCAACATTCTCTCTAATAATGTGTTCACTGTTACTACAAACTGGGTAAAGTTGTGATTGTAATTAATTCAGAAGGTTTCCAGTGACATTGAGTTCTGCAGCTTAATATCCCAGAAGCCCATTTCAGTCTGAGAGACACTCACTGACAACATTCATCTGTTCTTACCTTGGATTTGTTAGGATGAACTTTTTGCTGTTATTGGTGATTTGAATGCTGACATTTCTGTTTGTGGTTATGAACCGGGATATTTCCTCAGCAGTGTCGCTGAACAATGATGCAATTTTTAAAGGATTCATTGCCTGTTGAGAATGAAAAAATGAACATTATCATTTAAAGATGTTAGTGATTATTTAATGATGTGTAGCTTTTATCTTCGCAAAAGATGGGATACCAGCAAAAGTGGGCCAAAGAAAATCTTCATTCTGTGTTGCTCTTTGAATGACAGGAGATGATTACCTCAAGGGTGCTTCTCTGTGGGCTTTTGTTTTTTTATTGAACTCGCAGCATCTCTTTTTGTTGTGGTCACAACATCAGAGTATTTTTTAAACACGTAAGGAAGGGCTCCTGAGTAGCGCAACCGTCTAAGCTAAGTTGGCACTATCATCAGGAGATCCCGAGTTCGATCCCTGGTGATGCTACTGCCATCCGTAGCCGGGTCTCCTAGAGAGCACAATTTGCCTCGCTCTCTCTGAGTGCCCCCCCACCCCACTTCTCCCCCATCACTCAATGTGATGCTAGTCAGCGCAGGCGTCTGTTAGCTGACGTAACAGATCTGGCGGTTGGCGCTTTCCTCCGAGCGCGTTTAGCTGTCCAATGACGTTGCGTGAGCGGCAGTTCGAAAACCTACGGTGGTGCCTCACAGGTCTCGGAGGAAGCCTGTGCTAGCCTTCGCCCTCCTAGCGTTGATAGTATCGTGTGATTGGGGGAGTCCTAACTAGCGGGGGGAATTGGAAACGACTGAATTCGGCAGAAAATTGGGTAAAAATCCAAAAACTTTAGTCTTCTGAATGGCTGGTTCATGATTCCTCTGATTGTGTCCATCCATCTTGTTGCTGGTTGTCCTTGAACTCTTCCAAGCATGATGGTTTTTTCCAATGAACTGGTTCTTCTCAGAATATCTCCAAAGTACGAGCTTCAGTTTGGTTCTTTGGTTGTTGTTACAAAATTCTATTTAATTATTTGAGTAAGTGGGGTTCACGTTCTGTCCCACTTCTGCTGAACTTGCGAGGAAAAGTAAGACCTGTTCAATAAACGATTTAATTAGGTGTGGTTTAAAGAACAGTATACAGATGTGTACTTATCTAATTCATATCATCACTCCCAGAACAAAACACTGCATCGGGTGGATCGGGTGCCCACTGCTTCCTGCTGTACAATACTGTGCAAACCTCACCTGCATGAACTGACCCTCCTGATGACTCTGCTGCTGCACAGACCTGAACTATTTAATCAGAGTCATGGCTTCTCCTGTTTCTCCCCTTTTCTGTGTGTTATATTAATGGTAAAACCTGATTCTCTGTTCATTTTGCTGTTGTGTTACTGTTTGCTATCTGGTGTCGACCAGAGGAGGATGGGCTCCCCTTTTGAGTTCCTCTCAAGGTTTCTTCCTCTTGCTCTTAGGGAGTTTTTCCTTGCCACTGTTGCCACTGGCGACACTCATGGAGGCTTGGACCCAGATTTTTCTGTAAAGCTGCTTTGTGACGACAGCAAGAATGGCCTGAGTTTGATTCCCGGCCGGGCGACCAGGGTCATTTCTGTGTGGAGTTTGCATGTTCTCCCCGTGTCTGCGTGGGTTTCCTCCAGGTACTCCGGTTTCCTCCCACAGTCCAAAGATATGGAGTCAGGCCAATTGGACATGCTAAATTGCCCCTAGGTGTGTGTGTGTGTGTGTGTGTGTGAATGTGTATGTCTGTCTGTCTGCCCTGCGATGGACTGGCGACCTGTCCAGGGTGTATCCTGCCTACAGCTGGGATAGGCTCCAGCACCCCACCGCGACCCAGAAGGATAAGAGGTTTGGATGATGTGTGTGTGTGTGTGTGTGTGTGCTTTGTGATGACACCTGTTGTAAAAAGTGCTACATCAATAAACTTTTACTTGACTTGACCTAACCTGACCTTTTGAAATATCAGTTACCCTTCACATTGTGTAAAAATTTCATAATGAACGGACGGATAGAAATGATTCAGAATAACTAAGAATAAAGTCATTTTAACTTGACTTCCATTAAATGTTAATAATACAGTATTTTTCCTTCTTATGTAAATTTACCATTTTGGATATAAAAGATTTGTGTCCAACAATATATCATTACACACTTTTTCACAGGATTTTATCTTTTGTTGGGCTCCAGGTGGCAAGTTTTTTTGAGATGCTGACACTGTGCTGTGAATTAATCCTAACTGATGCAACATCCAACTGTAACTGAGCTCTAAAAACCTTTGTTTTGTGTTTTTTTTTTGTATTAGACACATTGTTGCTCATTAAAAAATGGACATGTGATAGAAAACATGGAAGATAAACAGCAGCTTCTATTATCTCAGCTGGGCCTGGTCTCCCTGCTTGCACCGTGTTATGCGTTTTAGACCACTGACTTCCTTCCCCCGTGGGGGAGGGGCTGTAACACAAAACACATACGATTTACAAATATCAACCATATCAAGAAGGCATCGGACTGTCTGACAATGCTGAGAAGTGAAAAACACCCTGGCTGGCCTCCCTTGTAGATCCATCTTATTGGTGTACAGTTAGAGACTGAGAGAGTAGCCAGTTCCTTGGAAACTATCTTGTGGTAATTGTTTCCTGTGAATGGAAGCACAAGGTAGGTGTTTCTAATAAAGTTTCTATTGCAATGATTCCATTTCTTAAAACAACTGTTTGATCTTTTATTTGCAATAATCATTCATGCAAACCTTCTCCCTCCATAAGAACAACAGCAACATATGAAATGTGTCTAAATGACGACATGGCAAAGTTAGTGTTTCGCATGTTATGTTTTTTAGTTAAAGTCACAGGTTATTTTATCTTTTCTAATGACACTCAGACGGCTTAGTTAAAGAAATACGCCCTTGTATCTTTTTTCTCACTATGTTCTTCTGGTCAGCAGCTTTAGCTACAGTAATCCAAGTGAATCACCTTCAGGAGAACACCTCTCACTTTCTGAAAAAAATAAACTGTTACTTATGTAGCTTTATTTGTGTTTAACTCTATATAAAACATCACATTCATTTGATAATCAGCTAAAAAGAAGAGCCCACCTGTGTCCCACAGCACAATGGCTCTTTGCGTGCAGTTCTGGACTTTATAGTAGGTGGAAAACTGACAGCTACTCAGAGGTTTCATGCTCCACCCAAAGGCACACTTCTTAGGCAACTTATTTTGGCTCTTGTGATAAGAACTGGAGAAAGAGCTTTCTACTATAAACACACCGGATTAAACCTGCACAACGCTGTCAGCACACAAGCTGACAAATCTTATCACATCCAGCATGTTTTAACTTGTTTTAATAGAAGGACTAAAACCTGGCACTGGTACAATTTGCATTCCTTCAGTGAGGATGTGACTACCTTTGTGAAAAAGCAGTATACTTGAATATGATGAATGATTCTTGAATATGAAGAATGATATTATTCTACTTATACTTTATTTGGTGTGCTAATTTGGCACTGACGATATACTTCATAAAAATATATACTGTGATTATTTTATGATAAAACTATACTTTTGCACATTGTGCCCTAGGAGCATTACTGCTGTGTTAAAGATGTACTTCAATGAAGTTGCTTAAAAACACGTCCATTTTGTGTTGAAACACTGCTTCATCAAATTATGCTTACAATGAACTGTGCTTTTATGCTCAAACTATACTTTCACCAAAAGAGCATTTATTTTGTGTTAAAAATGTGCTTCATCAAATTATGTGTACAAAAAACATATTTTGTGTTAAACTGTGCTTTAATGAAGAGTATTTACTTCTGCATGAAAACCGTCCGTTAATGAAGAGTATTTATTTGAGTGAAACTGTGCTTTAATATGGAGTATTTATTTGAGTGAAACTGTGCTTTAATGAAGAGTATTTATTTGAGTGAAACTGTGCTTTAATGAAGAGTGTTTATTTGAGTGAAACTGCTTTAATGAAGAGTATTTATTTGAGTGAAACTGCTTTAATGAAGAGTATTTATTTGAGTGAAACTGTGCTTTAATGAAGAGTATTTATTTGAGTGAAACTGTGCTTTAATGAAGAGTATTTATTTGAGTGAAACTGTGCTTTAATGAAGAGTATTTATTTGAGTGAAACTGTGCTTTAATGAAGAGTATTTATTTGAGTGAAACTGCTTTAATGAAGAGTATTTATTTGAGTGAAACTGTGCTTTAATGAAGAGTATTTATTTGAGTGAAACTGTGCTTTAATGAAGAGTATTTATTTGAGTGAAACTGTGCTTTAATGAAGAGTATTTATTTGAGTGAAACTGTGCTTTAATGAAGAGTATTTATTTGAGTGAAACTGTGCTTTAATGAAGAGTATTTATTTGAGTGAAACTGTGCTTTAATGAAGAGTATTTATTGAGTGAAACTGTGCTTCATGAAGAGTATTTATTGAGTGAAACTGTGCTTTAATGAAGTGTTTATTTGAGTGAAACTGTGCTTTAATGAAGAGTATTTATTTGAGTGAAACTGTGCTTTAATGAAGAGTATTTATTTGAGTGAAACTGTGCTTTAATGAAGAGTATGTATTTGAGTGAAACTGGCTTTAATGAAGAGTATTTATTTGAGTGAAACTGGCTTTAATGAAGAGTATTTATTTGAGTGAAACTGCTTTAATGAAGAGTATTTATTTGAGTGAAACTGCTTTAATGAAGAGTATTTATTTGAGTGAAAACTGTGCTTTAATGAAGAGTATTTATTTGAGTGAAACTGTGCTTTAATGAAGAGTATTTATTTGAGTGAAACTGTGCTTTAATGAAGAGTATTTATTTGAGTGAAACTGTGCTTTAATGAAGAGTATTTATTTGAGTGAAACTGTGCTTTAATGAAGAGTATTTATTTGAGTGAAACTGTGCTTCATTGAAGAGTATTTATGAGTGAAACTGTGATTTAATGAAGTGTTTATTTAAGTGAAACTGTGCTTTAATGAAGAGTGTTTATTTGAGTGAAACTGTGCTTTAATGAAGAGTGTTTATTTGAGTGAAACTGTGCTTTAATGAAGAGTGTTATTTGAGTGAAACTGTGCTTTAATGAAGAGTATTTATTTGAGTGAAACTGTGCTTCATTGAAGAGTATTTATTTGAGTGAAACTGTGCTT